GAATATAAAGTTACTTACATTGTCTATCTTGGGCTATGCAAATAATTCACTATTTTTGTTGTTTGTTTGTTTCAATAGCAGAAATGAAAATTCAGAGGAGAAAAAAAGCCCTTGTTTGGATACAATTGGATGTAGGAGTTTTTCCTTTCCAGAAAATGAGCACAACTCTCTGTTGTGTCAGAGTGGTTTTTCTTTCTCTTGAAATGTCAATACATGTAGTACTTGTGAGAAAAGCCCTAGTTGGTATGACACAACTGTTGAAGACAAAAGTGTTGTCCTGTTGTGCAGGAGGTCCCTGACTCTGGGAGTGTCTCTAGGAGAACATCTTGGGGTTCAGCCTCCTGCAGTTCCCACTTTTGGCTTAAGGAAGTTCAAACCCATCTCACCTTCCTCCAGGAGGAGTGCCTTGGAATCTACTTGCTCTTTTGGATGGTTGGTGAGGGGATGTATGCAGTCTCCTGGTGGTGTTCCAACCTCCATCCAGGGAGGTGGTGGAGTTACCATACCTGGAGGTTTTTGAGAAAAAGGTAGATGTGGCATTAAGGGATATGTTCTAGTGTGGTCATAGGCACAGGTTGATGGGTGGACTAGATGATCTTAGTAGTCTTTCCAACCTTAACGATTCTATGATCCTATGATAATATTAAATGGGACAATGCTGCAGGCTGGTATCACTCACGAACACTGAACAAAGTCAATAAGAACTCACATACTGGAAAGCTTCCCAAGCTAGCAGTTTGAACTGTCCTGTATAAAGCAGCTGGTGAAATTTAAGCTCAAACAGGGAATAAAAAGAAAAAAAGAATAAAGAAGTTAAACCTGCAATGCTCAGTGTTGAGCATGTGGAGCTGTTAGACTAAAGGAAAGAAGATGGAAGCTGCCTTCACCTTCTCCAACTGTGTTTTATAACTCATCTCAGCCTTACTGTGATGAATGTGATTATGATTATTAGAGCTGAAACAGTTTTGTAGGGGTTGAATTAATAAGTAATTGAAAGATGATAAAAATGGAATCTTCCAGTGTATTTACTATTCCCCTCTCTCCAAAACAAAAGAAAATTGTTTTTTCCAAGCTACAGGAAACAATGATTTAATTCCACTCATTAATGATAATCTTTCAAAGAATACTTAAGGAATCTGGTCTGCAGTAGTGCACAAAGTTGTTCAGATTCATCCTAGTGTCTACTGGAGCTATTTGGCCAAAATCAGAGTGAAATCCATAGATATCCAACTGCGACTACATAGATATATCTGCCAGGTTAAGGTGAAGTCACAGAGACATAAATTGCAGCATCTGAGACCACTTAAAAGGCTAATCCAAATCCTTCTAAACTCCATAGGGTTCTTCCCACTCCCTTGCAGAGTTGCTAGTCTCAATTCCCAGTCCTCATGTTGATGAATTTTCATGTGAACCCCAAGTGTGCAGCCATTCTTTCACAGGGAAAGAGCTCCAGCTAGTAAAAAGCCTTTTTTTTTTTTTTTTTTTTTTTTTTTTTTTTTTAATTTTATTTTATTTTAGTTACCTACAAATAATGTGTTTTTTATATTGATTTCCCATGGATGCTGTTGTGAATGATAGAATAAATCAAATTTCTTATGGTCTGTTGCAAGGTATAACACTGTCTTGTGAAAGAGATGAAATTTATGTAAGATGAGAATTCATTCTTCATTGCTGGTGTCCAGCAGAAGGTAAATACTCATTCACTGTGTATTGTTCGTACAGACATGTAAAAGCATGCACACTGGAAGAGTATTCCTCCTCTAGCTGTTATTGTTTCCTTTATAAATGAAAGAGAGAAAAAATACAAATGTAGAGGTGGTTTAGGAAAATTCTTTTGGTTGCATATTCACACATTTATAATGTATGGTATCTAAAATACAAAAACTGAAAAGAAAGACTATAGATAAAGTCCAACAAAGTTCTAAAATAAGTTAGAAGCTAAATATAAATCAACCAGACAGTTAAATAGGACTTTTGCATCTGAAATAAAATCAAGATGGACTGGGTTTGTCTGTGCCAGGGCAAGTGGCTGTCTGCTCGTTTGGTTTGTCCACAGGGTAAGAAATTGTAGGCTGATGCCTCAAATAAATGATGGGGAAGGACGACTTACAACTCATCCTGGAAGCATCAATCTTATACATACATACTATTATGCCAAATTATATTCCTAGTAGGATTGGGTTTGGCAGAGAAACAAGTAGTAGTCTTAGAGTTTTCTGTAGCAGAAAAAAATAAATTTAGGAGATTATTTCTCTCTTAAATGAGAATGTAACCTCTGAACTGAGTAGCTTTCTTAAGAATTTTCAAAATCTACCAAAATTAAGATCATCATCACATAAAATTCAGCTTTACTCAGAAGACCTTCATTTAGGTCTTCTTGAGGGAGAAGACTGGCATTGAGTGAGACTGGCACTTATGTATTTTTCAAGATAAAGAAGAACAACGCTGTTGAAAGACTAACCCATCCCTTTTTCTTTTATTTCTCATTATAAGATTGTAGCTGGTGGACAACAATATTGATCATGATGCATTAGGGTTTATTTTAGAATACTGCAAGTGTGAAAAATTTGAGAATCATTTTTTTCCTAATTAAATAAAACCACAGGGATATCTGGGGCTTCAGGGTTGTATTTACACCCCTTGCACATTTGACCATATTGAAAGCCCTCTTCGGAAAATACTCTTTCAGAGGATTTTTAAACATTTTGAGAACTGTCACTTATAATGCATCTATAGTTGAGGCCTGCCTTTCTAAGACTTTTCTCATCTCTGTGATCATTTTTAGGATTTTTCATCTCTGAACATTCTAAAACTAATTTCGTTCAATTATCTAGGAGAATTTTGTGAATAATGTAAAGAGGATACATACACTTAGTTATGCTTTATTTTGTGACTGACCAATACTTTGTATTTATTCTGTAGTTGAGCCTATAAATAGTCACTTGAAGAGCTCATATGAACAGGATGTTAAATGTGTAAGAGCATTGCTGCCTAGTGCAGTTGGGGACTGCTACATTGCTCAGAGGTTCTGATAATAGGCTGTCTTAACATTAAATGTTTGAAAGGTGGTCCTAAAGCTAATAATGTATCTCATTAATATGAATAGGCATTATTAATGATTTAGTCAAAGCATCTTTAATCATTAATCATTAGAGGTAAAGGTAGAAGCATAAAATGGTCTAGGTTGGAAAAGAAGTTCAGGATCACCAAATCCATCAACCTGACCTACTGAGTCCCACCACTGAAGCATTTTTTTTAGTCCACACATCTCTTAAATACCTCTGTGGCTGAGGACTCTACTACTTCCTTGAGCAGCCCTTTCCAGTTCTTGACCACTTTTTTTCATGAAAAAATTCCTCCCAGTATCCAAACTAAAACTTCCTGGGCACAACTTGAGTCTGTTTCTTCATGCCCTATTACTTCTCAGCTGAGAAAAGAGACTGACCCCCACTTCTACACAAATTCCTTGGAGATTTGGAAAGAGCCATGAGATGAGGTGTCCCCTCAAAGTCCTCTTCTTGCTTTCTCCAATCTGTGCTATGTATAATGCATCTGTGAAGAATTACGTAACTTCCAGAAGATAGTATTTTACTCCAGCAGTGGTTGATTGAATGGATGGCCTGGGTGGCCAGAGAGCTGGGACAGGCCCTCATAAGGCTTCAGCAGAATTTGTGACACAGCCTGGGCCCCTCATAGGATCTTAGTCATTCACCTCTCTTAACGTACAGGCTGTTGTCTCATAATACTACATGACAAATCCTGAGCTATAAGACTAGTGGGAAAACTTAATGTTTTATAATCATTATCCAAAGTCTTTGTGCTGGTGTGACCCCAAGGAAACCTGTGAAGTTTGCTTCCTCTGCTGAAAATCTTCCCTCCTCCCTTCCCCAGACTCCACGATACAGTTTTCATCTTCTGTTTCTTTGTACATTTCAAAATGAAACCTTTCTCTCAGCTTGAATGGAGATTTTATCAGGGCCTTTGAGTCATTTTGACTCATCCCTGAATTTGGCTTACCATGCCTACTCTGCAATTTGAGGAAAATCTTGCCAAACAACAGGGTGTGGAGAATGTCACACATACAGAGCATGTTCAGAGATTTTTGCACATGGTTTTCTGTTTGTGCTTTTGGCCAAAATTAGGTGGAACAGCCTCAGATGATCACTGAACCCTTCAGGGTAATCTGAATTGTGCAAAAGTACTTTGCTGCTTAACCTCAGTCAGGGTTTGCAGCTGCAAAGGAGGAAAGGATTGCTTTGAAACCTAAACTGATACTTTTGATATCATTACTGACGACTTGATTCTGTTTTTCTGCTTTTTTATTTTTTTCCTAATTTCCCTGCAACATATTAAGGATGGTTGGTTAAATTTATGAGTTCTACTGTTTGCAAATGGTCAATATGCATGTAATTCCATTTGTCTACTATCTGCTTGCTTTTTTTTTCCTTTTCTTTTTTCTCTTCTATTCCTGCCCTTGTTATAATGAGAATGAATATTTTATTCCAATAAAATCTTTAATAACTAAGTAGAAAACAAAACCTGAAGCTGACTAATTTATATGCCATGCCCTGGGAGAAAATGGATGTTAGAGAAATACAGATCAAACGATTTCCTGTTACTTGTCTTCTTAGTATATCTCTTGTGAATTCCTTACAAGTCTGAAGGCAATTGCCAGCTACAAACTGTTAGGATTTTTTTTTCCAATTTGTAAGCATCCAGGATTTTCCACCAGTTTGTCAAAAGAGTGGGGTTAAATGCATGCCCTGAAGTAGAGATGGAAGTGATTGTTAATCTCTATTAATCTACTTTTCCTGTAATCAAACACACGTGGGGTTGGTTTTTTAGGGGTTAAATTGTTAATGATACTAAATTGGCCATTGGAAATTGAATCATGCTACAAATATTTCCCTTAGTGCCTTCCGGCTGTCTTGTATTGAAATAGATGAAAGAAAATGTATTTTATCATTTAAGAAATATATAATTGCATTGCCTTCTCGCAGATGCCATCCCACCAAGCTATTACAGCCTTTACTTCAGAATCGTTAGATTTGACGTCTCGGCGATGGAGAAAAATGCATCCAACTTGGTGAAGGCTGAGTTCAGGGTCTTCCGCCTGCAGAACTCGAAGGCACGGGTCTCGGAGCAGCGAATTGAGCTGTACCAGGTAGGGCTCCAGCTGTTACTGCTGTCTGTCAAAAGTAGTTTATTTTCTGTCTCTCTCCTGGAAGCAGCTTCATTCAAAGTCTTACAAAGCTGAAATATACACACTTACTAGAAAAGTGTGCCTCGGGACTCCAGCATTCAGCTTCACTTCTGTATGGTGGCCCAGGGCTTCAAGCGAGGCAGTGGAAAATTCAGGATTTGTGGAGAGAGGAAGAAAATGATCTAAAGATTTTTTTTTTTTTTTACTCTGTATTGTCATTAAGACTTTTCTCTCTTTTGTTTGTTTTCTGATTGCATTTTCCTGTTCAGTGGTAACATTAAATGATTTATGAACTTGATCAGATGACGTTGTCACTGAAAGAAGCAAATTCAGTCTTTCATAGAAGCCATCACAACCCCACAAAACTTCCTCTGTGTGTAAACAAACTCAAGCAGAGGCTCCTCTAGCTAGATAGTGAGTCAGCTTGCACACATGCTGAATCCATTAAACTCAACTGCAAGGATTCTGTGCATTTGTTTGTGGAAATACTGGCTAGAGCATATTTTGTGTAAAGCATAGTTCATCTTGCTGAGAAGCTCAAAAGCAAAAAGGGATTCGACTTCCAACAGTTATTTACTGGGTAAAACTCATGGTTGTTCCATCAATTCGGCACTTGTTCAGCTGAAAACCTGCTAGGTAGAAAGCTATCCTGTAAACTATACCAAACCCCTCTTTATCTCTGTTTTTGCTACCCTTATTTGCTGTATCTGAGCACTGCTGTGAGTGTGCAGCCCCACAGAGCCTGGGTCAGATCCTGTGGGTGCAAATTTGAGTTAGTCATCACCCTTACTTTCAAAGTTCATATTTTGCCGCCTGATTTGCTTAAGCACAAACCTAGCTGGGAGTAGACAGAGCAGAATCTGTGCTCGTGCTTCTTGAAGTGACGGTATAAGCCAGACTGAGACTGAGGGCAGGAAATGATGCTCTGGGATTTTAAACATGATTTAAACAGGACAGAAGTGTGATTCCCCGCTGAATGGGTTCAGGTCTGCAGGTGGTCACCGGGTGCTTGCTGTCAAGATTGCAGCCTGGCTGTGTGCATTCCGTGAACTGGCAGGCAGAAAAGGTGCCTAAGTAGCATTCCACTTGTTAAGAGAAGTAACAGAAATCTTTGCTGAAAGCCACTGGTGTGCTCAATGTCTGACAGCCATCACAAAGAATTACTCTATGAGTCCCTGTGATGGTGTCACACCAGCCTGTCAAAACAATCATATATTCTGGCTTGACCTCACTGTTCAGACATCCTAAATGGAGATAATGGCATCTCTGGGCTTTCTGAGAGCTGTTAATCACACACCTGGAAGAAATACATCTGACATTCCCTGAGCTCGGCTCATTGCACCTCCATGTTTGAGGAATGTGGGACAGAAAGGGTTCGGCGGAGGTAGGGAAGAAAGGCCCTTTGCACAGCTGGGAATTTGCATTGTGATGAGAAACAGCTGGAGCTCACTTGAGAGAGGCTGACTCCAGCAAGCCTGTGCCCATGAAAATAACTGACACCTGCACCCACAGCAGATACTTGGCTTCTTTATATAAATATATAGCCAGTGAGTAAGGCAGAGTGGGTGGAGATGTACTTGGTGAAACACTGGGTAAGTAATGAGTGCAGGCTATTGTAGATAATGGGGCTTTTCTATACCTAGTCAGATGAACCAGGGGCAGCAAGGTGAGTGTGTTTGTGCTGGGTTTTCATTAGGCATGTTACTCGCTGCCTTACTTGTAGAGAGGCAAGCTGTCCCTGGAATGTTTCTTTTCAGGGAACTCATCAATTAGTAAGAGCTGTCTGTTTAGTGCTTTTTTGTGCCACTACTCTGCCTCTTGGTCGTATTTACCCTTTGCAGTCTTATGTACAGTACTCTTCATGCAGGTGTTATGTTAGCTCTGTGTTGACTTATCTGAATTGCATGGATTTCTTACCAGGAGTCCCTCAACCTTCCTACATCTCTCCATCACAATGCCTGAAGCTGCATGCAGTGTTTAACAGGTGTAGCAAACACAAGAAGTAATGGGAGAGGAGGCTTTATTGGAGGACAGTGCTATAGAAGAATCCTAAAAAAGAATATAAGTTTTAGAAGGTAAAATAAGGGAAGTCTGAGGAACAGAATGTAGGGAAGCTGTGCAAGATGATGCTGGAAGAAGTTCTGTATTGTGTAATGACAAGAGTGACTGACAAGAGTGACTTAACAGAGGACCAAACATGGGAGGTAAAAGAATGGGGAGGATGCCCATTTCAGTGGAAGTGGGAGAGAGAAATACATCTTGTAAGGGTTGAAAACTTTCTCAGGTATATTTGCCTGAAGCATGAGAAGCCACGCATGGAGACAGAGCCTCTTAGAGATTGCTGGAAGATCTGGCAAGTGTAACTGCTGCTCCTCCTCCCTTCATAAGTGCTGTTTCCTGTCTTGTGAGATAGTGTTGGGCTTGCCAGGGCTGTTGTGCCCAGAAGCAACAATGTGGTTTTTCATCTTGCATAAGCAACATTTAATTATTAGTCCCCCCCTCATTTTTATTTTTTTATTTTTTTTTTTTTTCCTTTTTCTTTCTTTTTTCCTCTCACCAACTTTCAGGTTGCCTTGTTTTTGCTTTGCTGAACTCTCCTTGATGAGAGTTTTTGAAATTCCTCTCATACCTTTAATTTCAGGGAGTAGTTGTTCCTGTGTCTTGTCTTTTCCCATTAAGCAGGAGGAGAGAGGCAGAAGTGTCCTTGGGAGAGCCAGAGCTTGTAATTCATTGGGAGGCTGGGATCCCTTGCACACATGTAGGTACCCCAATGCAGTCTAATTTTGGCCAATGGCAGTTTAGTAGCAGTGTATATACTAGTGGTGCAGAAAGGACAATACTTCTCTGAAAGCATGCATCAGGAACAGCTAGAAACAGATGTGCAGGATAAATAGGAAAAAAATAAGCAAGCAAGGCATAAATATTTTTTCTCCTGATTCTTTCTTTGTGTGGTCCTCTGACCTTAGAGATCTACCCCTTAAAATGAGAAAGAGATGCAGCACTGCACCTTTCAACCAAGTTTTCCTCAGGCTGCACTTGGCTTCTTTTTCCAAACCACATCAGAGGAAGACTTTATGTTTTCCTGCAGAGCCCTGATTTACACTGACTGCAGGAAGGCAGTCTGGGGCTGTCTGGCATGGCAAGCCTGGGCCCCTTGCTCCCAGCAAGACCCCATCCCACCCAGCACAGTTAGATGCAGAGGACCGACCTTAATGCATTTATTTGGTTTGTTTGTCCACTGGGCAAACTGGCTGTGCCCTATGGTGCGAATGGGATTCTGAGCAATAGGTTCTGGAGGTGAATTCTTCTGAGAGTGAGGTAGACATATGCCATCTCTCGGGTCCATGGGTAGCCTGGCAGCTCGTTGGCCCCACATTCACAGTTCCCTAGCTGGGATGTTTGCAGACTGCTTGGGAGAGTGTATTCACAGAATTCCTGGACCGAAGTTAAGCCCCCTTTCAAAGTGCTGGCTGTCCTCTGTTCACTTCCAGCTGAGTGCTGAGCAAAGCTCTGACAGCAGCACAGTGAGACATGCTGCACCTCGCCATCCTCCTCCTCTCCCGATGCCGGGGGGAGCAAACGGTAATCCCCAGGAGCAGAAACAGTTTCTTTAATGTCTGTTTTCAACCAGAATACTTTTCTGGGTATTTTAGGATTAGTCAGTCACATCTGTGTGTTCCTGTGCAGATGGGAAGCATGCATATTAAGTAGTCTTAATGATGGGGGGGGGAAAAAAAACAACAAACCTCATAGAAATGGGAATTAAGCTTCTTTTATAAGATTGTATAAAAGCTTCTGTCTTTTCTTGGCTCTAGTTAAGTGAAACCACATAGAATTTAATTCTTTAAAGGCACCATCTTTTCTGCTATTTCTTCTGCCTAAAAGCAAAGGTTAATCCCTAGTTCTGCTGAGCATCAGCACATTGGAGAGTGGGAAGCTGCAGGGAAGGAAGGAAGCAACAGAACCTCAGAGGCAGCAGCTCCATACTTCACTTTCCACCGCAGCATCTTCACTGGATGCACTTCTTAACGTGCACCAAGCCTTCAGAAAATACTGAGAGGATAAAATACTTTTAGGGGAGGGAGTAATATTAAATAAACAAGTTTGAGCATCCTCCAGTGGCCCTCACTATGTTTTTAAAGATTTATGCCAAATGCAGGCTTTATTGGAATTTGATCAGATAAAGCTCGGTTGCCATGAGAATGTCTCTGTTCATCAGTATTCTTGCCCGCTTTGAAGACTTCATCACATTTTTCTTTTATTAAGGTGCTTCTGTATTTATGAATAAAGTACCTGCTCCCTTTAGAAAAAGCTTGCCTTTTATGAATGAGCATTCCAAAAAATAAATGGGCAGCACTGCAAAGCTGGACAAGTGAAAACCCTTGTGGGGTGAAAAACAGTGGTTCAGTATTGTTTTTGAGATAGTTTTATTGTGTACAGATGATCAAACAATGACAAGTAATGACCGCTTCCTCTAGAAGCAGTACTGTGTTTTGGTACTGCATCATAAAGCATCACAGAAAATACATCCGAAGAGCTGTTTTTTGGTGTCATTGTCCTAGGGTGCCATGTGTTGTAGTTAGCTACTGGATGGTGAATGGGGGTCCTTACCATATGAAGTGTCCAAGGTTTGTGCAGCACCAGGCTAATGCCCAGGAGAACACTGCTTTGAGATGTGGAATTGAAAGCCACCAAGAGCAGCAGACCTTAGGTCTCTCCAGCTGCTTAGGAGTTGGACTCAGTGATCCTTATGGGCCCCTTACAACTTGGGGTATTCTATGATTCTGAGTTGAGTATGATCCTCTCTATGCTGAGGGTACCCACAACACTTGTATGGGGCACAGGAAGAAGTGGCCATCTTCCAGACAATATCAGACCTGGTTTCTTTAAGGGCCTTTCTCCTCTGTTGAAGGTATAAGAAGGAAGATGCAATGGAACATATTACCCCACTATGAGTCAGA